CAATTGGTAAATGCATGTGTTTCTCTAAGAACCTGGTACTCACATTTGTCATTAAAAAAAACATTAAATTTATTACTAGTGAACTTCACTTCTACTCAATAACGCTCGCCAACTTATTACTTCATAATCTTATACGGTTCGCTTCCTTAGCTACTAAGTTTGTCTTGTTTGAAATATGTCATACTATTTATATGGTTGCATAAATAAAATAGAAGCTCCATTAAAACAGAAATAATTGATAGCTTATTTTGTGGTATTTAATATTAATTTTAAAAAATTGAAGAAGTGCGATTTAAACTTTACGAAACTAGAATCTTTTCAAAGCTTTTAAATCAGCGGGAAATTTTCGCAATTAAGGTTAGGTACATCAACATGAACTATAATACCTAAAGACGCTCCACTCTGACACCATAACGACGTCTGTCTTTTCTAGCCCAATTGTCTACAGCGCCCTCTAGCAACACTTAACGGAAAGGATCAATAGATGTGAATAGGTGACACTCTACGGCGGTATACTATACAGCTTGGCGAACAAAGAGCACGTATCTCAGAGTATCCTTTGGCCAAGCTATGCAGTGTTTTGTGATACTTTTTTTTATTTATTTACTACTGCACGAGTATATTTGTTGCATAAATAAATAATATTTTTTGTGATTTATTGTTTCAAGGTTGAGTTCTTATGTTTTAATTCAATCAAAATTATTGAATAACACTAGATTGCATAAGTTTATGTTAGTTTTTTTAAAATCTTTTCATAATGTGCATTTATGCAGAACCATAAAATTTTCTATTCAATTCCAAATTTTTCATTTTACATTTTAGTTCTAGAATATGTAATTTCTTAAAGTCAATATTTAAACTCATATAAAAATTTTTTTGTAACTTTGCGAAAGACTGCACTTTAACCTAATCGCATCACATGATGAGTAGACCTATCATGCATGCAGAGATACCAAATGCTCCGGACATGCGCCAAAATAATTTAAAGAACGGTAAATAACTACAAAGTAAAATTTGCAAATATTTGACTAATTTTGCTTACTTTTTAAAACGTTCAGCATGACTTAACGAGAACTAAGTGGCGAATTAAATAACCCTTTGAATTATTTAGAAATAGTGATGGATAAAACCACTCAAAAATACCACTCAAAAATATTTATTCGCTGTCCGGAATAAGTTGGTATATCTGTGCATACTTTTCAAATAAAATAAAAAAGTGTTGTCCAATATATTTTGCTATCAGTCTATTTCAGAAAGAAATAAAGTATTTTCCATTGCCACGTCATATAAATGGCCATGTGTAAGTACCAAGTTAGATTTAGCAAACTACTCAAGAAAAAAAAAGAAAAAAAAAAACTGATTTTTATCAAAAAATTGCTACCAGTTTTAAATTCGGCAGTCTTATCTTAGTTTGGTATTTAAATGAATAGTATCCAACGAGGGGAGGGGGGTAACCAAATAATTAATTTTTCCAATCCAATTTAAATTAATCCAATTAATCCAATTTAAATTAATTTTTCAAAACAAATCTGTAGTTTTTATTTCATTACAGTAATTTTTGGTAGATTCGCTACAAAACCAATTAGAACCAAATAATATAAGCCAGGAATTAACTACAGTAAAATAGTTTTCCATTGGAAAAAATTAATCATAAATTGCTAAACTTTGCGTTTGGGGAAGACTTTTGTTACTTTTTAATTTGAAATCCTTAGCGAGGAGCCCTGTATTAGTAATACCTAAATTTAAAATAGCTCTAAAAATACTAAAAAAATTTCACAAGTGGTATGAGATCATTACTCACCTTACATTTTAGAGCTTCTGAAGACTAAAAACAGTTCATATTTGTCACACTTAACCCATACCTGCCAACTTTTAATCCCATCCATTATCATTTTTCCCAGTGGTATTAAAATGGAATTAAAACTTCAATTTTAAGCAAACAAATACGTTATATTTGAGAAAACTTAAGTTAACAACTATGATAGTAACGCATATTAATATGTGTGCTTAATTTTTGTAAGTATAGTGGTGATCAAAATCATCTGAAAATTAAGTTTATAAAAGAAAAAATAGTATATACTTACTACCATTTTAAATATGAAAATAAAATCTTCCGGAAAATCCGGAAGAGTTGGCAGATATGTTAACCCATTAATGCCAGGTAACAAAAACTAGCCTATATATGAATGATGACTATATAATAAAAGTGGTAGTACACATTTACTTATTTTTTTCAAATGGCACATTTCTTCCTTTTACGTACCACTTTAACTTTAATTAAAACACTGCGAATTAAATTCAGATAAAAAATAAGTATTTATAGCACACCGTAGTCATCTTCAGTTCAATAAGCATTTATATTATTCATACATTATGGTATGCCGAGCCATCTGTTTTATAAAAAATAAGTCTTCATAATGAAACACGTGTAAAACCAGTTTTGAACGTTAGATAAAAATAAATAAACAGTCATATTTTTGGGCGCTGGGCACAAATAGGTTAAAATTAGTTTATGATGCCAAAATCCCAATGCTGCTCTAAAGTTTCAAGAAAAAATGCTGTCAAAAGTTGCTTATTACCCAATGGTAAAATGGGTCGTGGTTTGGATTTCATAGCGTCCGTTGCTGTTTGACGTTTCTTTTTTTTTTCACTATTAATTTTATAATGCATTAAGTTTGTGAGTTTATTAAGTTAGTTACCATTTTTGAAATATGGGGCCAGAGAGATCCCATAAATACTCCTTGAGTTGTGAATAAAAGAGAATTTCATCATTTGAATAATTTTTATTGTTTTAATTAAGAACCAGAAATTCTAACCTACAATTCAAACTGGATCGTTTTCAATACTAATTCAGGGGAATATCACAAATAAAAAAAGGGTCCAAACTGATTGACATGGTCCCAAAAGTTAGAGTTGAAGCAAGAAAAAAACGATGCCAAGGTCTTAACTTACCGAGGCTGAAAAAGCCCAAGAACGCAGACGAGAATACCTTAAGCGTGACACACAAACGGAAAAACGAAAAGATTCCGTTCTCAAACACAAGCATGAAGCCCGTTCCTCACAAAAGTAACAAAGTTGTTGAGAGAATCGAACCCTACTGAAGAGCGAATGGTGATTCTTCGAACCCCTTTCACGCAAATACGAGAGCTGGGTGTGGATCACCAGTTAGGGCTAAAACGATCCATTGTCAACGTACCCAATAACTTGCACAANCTCGGTCCCTACGCAGACTGATCCAAGTGGTCACCCACCCGCACACTGACCGCAGCCAGTGATGCTTGACTTCGGTGATCTGCTGGGAACCGTGTCTTAACGATCAGTCCACTGCGGGACTACCATTTTTGAAATATGGGGCCAGAGAGATCCCATAAATACTCATTGAGTTGTGAATAAAAGAGAATTTCATCATTTGAACTATATTTTTTTTATTGTTTAAATTAAGAACCAGAAATTCTAACCTACAGTTCAAACTAGACGTTTTCAATACTAATTCAGGGGAATATCACAAATAAAAAGTGATTGACATGGTCCCAAAAGTTAGAGTTGAAGCAAGAAAAAAACGATGCCAAGGCCTTAACTTACCGATTCTGAAAAAGCCAAAGAACGTAGACGAGAATGCCTTAAGCGTTACACACAAACGGAAAAACGAAAAGATTCCGTTCGCAAACGCAAGCATGAAGCCCGTTCCTCACAAAAGTACCAAAGTTGTTGAGAGAATCGAACCCTACTGAAGAGCGAATGGTGATTCTTCGAACCCCTTTCATGCAAATACGAGAGCTGGGTGTGGATCACCAGTTAGGGCTAAAACGATCCATTGCCAACGTACCCAATAACTTACACAAGACCGTAGACTGTCTTCCACGCAATATAAATGGTTCATTCACTATTCATGTAAAATTGAAGAAGAAAAAAAGCCTAGCATTCAATTCATATTTCATGTATGAACTTGTGAATCCGAAACGGGTTGATGCAGTTTACAATCTCCATCCAACACCATTGTACCAATCCGAAAATGTTAATATTGATCGCGATTGGCTGTTCAATGTCTATTCAGTCATCAAAAGAATTTAGACAGAATGCGTCTGAGATGCATTTCAATATGTCTGTGAAATTGTGTACCGAGCAGTTCAGGATTAACAGTTAAAGATGTCTAAGATGAAAACACATTTAAGTTAGACAACAGAAAAATTAGACGACAGCCATTTTGCAAATGGGTAACCTGTGATCACACAATTTTCTTCATTTTGTAGTGAATCGCATTTTAAATTTTTTATTTCTCTTTTTTTTTGCAAAAAGGTTTTATTTCTAGTCGTCCTACTTTAACTTTGCAGAAATTTTTATGTCACTGGTTCACATCACTGTTATAAATGAACTCACAGTTTGATCATAATCTATTATACAATATGTCCTAATAATTTTTTCAAGGTGTTCTGTAATGACCATTCTTAACATGTATTTTCAGAAAATTTGCAAAAAGTGAAGAGAAAAAAATATGTAGATGAGGGGTCTCCAATTAATATTGAAGCAAAGAAAAAAAGAAAATATTATCGAAAACTAATATATGAAACTGAAAGCATCGAAACCAGTTTGATTGCCGGATGAAACTCGAATATGTTTTTAATAATATTTATACATCAGTTAACCTGTAAGCTGTTCTTTATTTCCTCCCTCAATCAAACAGGTTTTGTTGTTTTCAGTACAGCCTTTCTCGGGAATAATTCATTAAGTTTAAATACCTTTTTTGCTTATAGCTGGCTTAAAGTACATTTATTTCTGACATTTGAGACCCCTAACTAGTATACTTTTTTGTTCAACTTCATTCTTGACAAATATTGTAAATATATATACATTTAGAGTGAACATTGCGAAACGGCTCACAAAACTTTAAAAATTGTAAGAAAACATTTTCTTAAAAAAGTGGTAAAATTGGCAGCTACGAAACATTACTGAAGTTATAACAATAGAAAATTTTTGAAGAAAAAAATGGAACACAAAATACATATTTTATTGTAAAATATTTATTCAAAAAATTAAAAAAAAGCCTGGTTACATCATAAAAAAGACCCACAAATTCGCTGCAAACGTGCATTACTTACACAATTCAATATTCAACACAATATTACATTTCGTAGAATTGGTAGACTACAAACATCTACTACATAAAACTGTCTGAAAGCGATTTCCATACAGTTACAGCTAATACAAACAATAATATTTAGGAACTAATAACAAAACACAAGACAGAAAACAAAACAAGCTAACTATGCTATATATTGATTGTTGTTAAGTAAAGATCATCACTCAAAAATGCATTCTTTAATAAGCATAAAATCGTAAACAGAAAAACGTCTGCAGTATATATTTGTCTTAATACGAAAAAGCAAAAGAATAAAAGAGTAAATACTGGAAGGCTGCCATTTGTATACAAATATACAAAACGATAAAGGTCCATACAAATGTAAAACAAAAAGCAAAAAAAAAGAAAGTTTTGCTAAGCTTCGTAAAAGTGCATGTATAACACAAAAACGTGTTACAGCTTTTATAAACTGTAATATCACAAAGTACACTGGTGGCTTTTACTAAATCAAACGATTAATATAAATTTCAAAATAAATGTTTAGTAGTTCAGGTTAAAGCGGAAAGAATGGGACATAAAGATTGAGTCAGTTCAGTCTTGGCATTTGGGTAAAAAAGAAATTTGAGCAAATACAGGTTTTGGAATTTAATTTAGGGGGGCACATAATTTAATGGACCAGCCATTTTTGTGCAATCATGACAGTTTTGCTGAATATGTTGCTTTAATTTTTTAGCTGTGGAATATGTATATAAAAAAATATCTATCACCGGTTTTGATTCGATTTGGTTTGTTTGTTTTTAAAAAAAGCTCATTACAAAGTAAAATAACTTATCACTTAAATATGATTTTGATCGTTTCATACATGTAGGATTACTTAAGAATATTTGGCTCAAGTTTTTCATTTAAATTAGCGAAGAATAAATGTAAAAAACAAGCAAAAATGGAATGATTAGAAATTGTTCCACAAATCATTAGATCTTTACATTTCTTCAGCAAAAAAAGAAGCCTTCTATTGCTTTAAATTTAAGTCTGAGATTGCAGTGTGTATCTATGCTTAGAAGTTGATAAAACTACCAACAGTGCTGATTATGATCCGGAAAAAAAAGAAAGAAATTGGCAGCAAAGCCATTTTATTTCTAGTTTAGTTTTGGGAAAAGTAAAATATATGTGCCTATCACGACTTGTTAACAGATATAATATCAGTAATTCGAAAAAAAAGTTCACAAATAATGTATACATTAAAACTGTTAATAAATCGCGAAAGTCTTCTGGAAAAACAAGCTAGAAATAAAATAGTTCTCCTATTAAGTTATACTATTTTTCCAAGTAACAGTCAGCCCTATACCTATTTGTATTCACTATACATGATAATTCTACAATATTAATTAGTTTAAGATATAATGCGTAAATTTTTTAAAAATATTTTATTAGTTCATGCTTACACCCCATATGATTATAGAAGTTGAGGCCTAAGCAAATAGAGTGCCTTCACATTTCTCATAAGTAAGGGTTAGTTGAATCAGTGATTTCAGTAATATATTTTCATTTATAATATTGTACAATATAATAAACACTATACACGCTGTTTTGAAAAATAATTATGGCATCATTCGTATGATTTTAAAACAGAACATTTTTCTCATGCCTTTTCCCAGTTGCCACCAGATTAATCATTAATTTGCTCATCCAATCAATGGAAGACATAAGAGAGGGGAAAAATAAAAACAAAAATAAGATTTACTGTCGATTATCGACAGGGTCTGCACATGCATTCTAGAAGATTCCAGATGATTTACCACCGGGCGGAATACGGGAACGAGGTGTTCCATTTAGGCTCTTAGGGCTCTCTGGTGTAGAATGTCCATTACCTATAGAAAAAAAATTAATAAATGAGTAAATAATTACTTATCATAACTCAACTGAAATTGACAAAAAGTCTTAAAATTTCTCAACCTTATTCAGACAAAAAAATTTATTTATTAGAAAATCATCGAAAGACATAACTAGTCAATTATAGTACTTCAACGAAAGTTTTATACACTTGAAAAAAATTATTACATAAAAAAAACTCTTTTTGATCACAAATAAATTTCTAGTAAATTATGATTTAGTCTGTATGTGGATAGGAAATTATTCCCAAAAATATTTTAACGTTTCCCAAAAACGCATTATGTAACCAAAAAATAAAAATAATAATAAAGATCATTAGGGTTAAAAAATTACTCTGACTAAGTAACCACAAAATGAAATTACAGTTCTGATTTTTCTTAGAAGATGATGAATTTTCTAAGAGCAGAAAACGCCCCTTTTTTTCTTCTTCTTCCTTTTGATAAACTGATGTTAAGCATTACGAAAAGTTTCCAAAAAATGTTTTACTTGGTTACAATGCTTACCATAACAGTGCATGATATATCAAACTGAACATGGATTCCAAAATAATTACAGGGTCGCCTACTTGTGCGATAGTCGAGAAAGATTGTATTCTGAGGAAGTAAAATAATATAGTCATATAGTGAACCTTCAAGGGACCGAAATCTTGGTTCACAATAACCAGGATTTCACTATATCCGTTTCGCAAGCGATTTTAACTAATGGTTCTAAACTTTCCCCTTTTATTACACATTATTTAAATAAGTGACCAATAAAAGGAAACAAAAAATGATTGAAAAATAATACGTAGTAACAAAAAAATGCGTTAACTTTTATTTTTTTATTACTCTTCGGCTTGCGTACAAAAAAAGTACTAGTAATCTTTAGCTGATGAGCAATCCACAACATCAGATATGAAAACACTTACAGACTCTCCGATAATTTTTCCTTAATTTATGTTATCCCGCTTTTTAAACCTGTCTAACCAGCCATTCGAGCACATAAAATTAGTCTCACCAAATCGCTTAGAAAATTCATCAACTTTGATTTGCTTTTGATTTAAAGATTGGATTTCCACGCATTGGTATTGCCACACTATTTTTTTTTAAAATAATATTTTACCTATTCCCTTTGAGTTATGGATTTTGTCAATTATAATTACATACACTAAATTGATGTAAAAATTTATGTATCTCACAATTTAAAATTTTTTGACTAATGATAGTAAAATAACAATTTCATGTCACCAGCACTTCAAAACATCATTGCAGGGTTATCAAAAACTTTACACTATAGTACTAGGAGGCTACGCTCGCCAAACCACGGAATTATCTCGCATTCATAATTGTGTTTTTTTAAACTGTAATATTCTTTTAAATAATTTGTCAATATGTTAATCGTAATGAATCCATCTATCCATCAATCAATCCATGGTAAAAAATAAAGATGCTTCATTTTTCCAGTTGAAACCAAAACGAAATATTTTAATTAGTACTGTATTTTTTTTTTTTAAATTTGCTCCTTGTTCTTTTTTTTTTAAATTTTATAATAGAAGAGTTTAAATTTACTTACACGTTCCATTAGAGTAGCCATTTACAGATCCATTGGCGGTACCATTAGGAGTACCATTAGGGGTGCCATTAGGAGTACCATTAGGAGTCCCATTAGTACCATTATGAGATCCATTGGAAGTGCCATTTTGAGAAACAGGAGCTCCTGTTATTGGGTTGATCATTGGACGACGAGCTGCAATTAGAATAAAATTTATGAGTTTAAAATGACAAACAATCTTATTTCTGAATATTCAGTATCAAAATAGTTATTTGATTATAACTTAAAACGAGAGAAATAATTTCATTATGAGAATAATTTTCTCAAACACATCTAAAATTGTTATCATCATCAGTAAACAAACAGTCAAGTGCAGAAAAGAGTGGCGGGCACTAAATATACACTTAACTACCATAATAAACACTTACGATTTCTATAATTTAAAACTATATTCAAAAGATAAATGATGCATAAACTATCGGTTCAATCATATTTTTGTGGAAGATTTTTTGGTAAATTTTATATATTTATTTCTGAGTGAGAGAGATTAACCCGTATTTGTGTCACTTACGGAGGATAAAATCATAAAACTCCTCGTAGTCAGTACACGACAACAACGGGATAACAATCTACGATTTGACAGGCGGAGGGATGTTTAATATCAGCCTGGGTTGGGAACTATATAGGGTAATGTTGCTATCGAAAGGGCACTTATTTTTGGAGCATAATTTATCAATTTTATAGTTTTTCACATGTTGATGCAATTATTAAGATCAATACTATAGCAATACCTACGTCCTCTGCTTACTTCGCTATCCAACTTATAATTTTAATATATTTTATTTTGTGTCGTTGTTGTTGTTCATTTTCGTCGCACTAGAGTTATTACTGCAAAATGGGCTAGTGGCGACGGTCTGGGAAACATCCCTGAGGATGATCCGAAGACATGGATGCCATCGCAATTTTNCTTAGACAATATCTTAGCCCGACGACCTGCACACGAAGTCGAGCACTTTACGGTAGAACAGTTTAACAAGGACCAATACCGCACACCCTCGGTCCCAACGCTGACTGATCCAAGTGGTTACCTACCCTCACACTGACCGTAGCCAGTGATGCTTGACTTCGGTGATCTGCTGGGAACCGTGTCTTAACGATCAGTCCACTTCGGGACATATTTTATTTTATAACCAGCGTTGAACAGCCGACCTATTTCTAAATTTAGAACTATCAATGTTCAACTCCGTAGCCTTGTAATTTTGAACTCAACTCAGACGACAAGGGACTTTCTGAATCAATCATTTGGATAAACTTGATTTCGAGCAGGAAAATTTTATGGAACTATATTTGCGTTACACGGAGAGATAAACTACGAACCCCGCCCCCCTACGGTTACCCCGAAGGCAAGAGGATTCTAACCCATGATCATATTTTATGTCAACACTGTGTTCGGAACGAATAGAGAACAGAAATCGTTTCAACCAAGCACAGCTGCAATTCGAACCTGGGGCACCACATTGGCAGACGAATGCACTATTCCCTAAGTCACCGCTGCTCTAATTTTTAATATAGAAATTACAGATACTTTTGAAGAAGTCTTTTCAAGCATATATTTTTTTAAATATAGAAATATTCACTCACACTCCGTATAACGACATCACATTTTCACGGAAACATCCAAATTTATTGTCAATATTATATTTAAAATCATGCATGAGAAAAAAAATGTAAAAAGTTTGGAGCTTGAGGAACCATAATATTGTTAAAATTTGCTTAAATATGGTGTTACTTTGAACCATATTATCGTACTTCTTAATTACACGATTCTACATTTCAACTTGAAAGAAAACATGGTCCAATTTAATCCCTTAATTAAGTTGTTGATACTCGGCACCATATTATGGTTTGAGTTAACAATATTAGGGTTCAATGTTGAACCGATTTTTTGAGTGTGAATGATAACACTTACTATTTGCAGATTTCGGGGTGGGTGTTTTGGGAGATACCTCTTCTTCAAAAATGGATGACCTTTGCCTATTGACTATTTTCCTAGGAGTGTGGTCTTCTGAAGATCCAAATAGCCTCTCAGCTGTGGGTAACAACTTGGACGGGGTCGTGGCAGGAGTAGAATAATTTGAGTGGTAGGACGAATCCGGCGAATCGGGACTGAATATAGTCGACTGCATGTAGTTGTTCGCTTTCCTGGGAGTCAATTGATCTGGGCTAAGAGGTGCAACTCCGTTTTGCACTCCGAAAATATCGCTGCATTCACCGCCAGGAGGCTTGACAATTCTAAAAGAGATTTTCAATATGAATATTGGGAAGGTTTAAAACACAGGCAAGACAAATAAACAAATGAATCAATCAAAGTAAAATGAATATCGTCTGACAATAACGAGATTTGCTATCAGCGAGGTTGACAGACTTGCGCATTTCGCGAAGTAGCTTAGGTGGCAGGTACTAGTTAAAATAGACCAGAAAGCAGAACTAGTTTTAGTTCAACACGGCAGCCAAACCTAAGCCTTATCTTCTTCTAAAATAAATAGACCAGTCTGATACCAGTCCGCCTCCAGTAAGCCTTGATCCGGGACTCATCTTGTGATAGCTAGATAGTACATTTTATTTAACAGGCATATCCTATAAGCTTATTACAATTTACATGTTCGATCATGTGAATAATATGTCGAAATGGAAAGTTGTGTTCCTAAAGGCATCTTCCTCACTCAACAATAAATTAAAAATCGTCAAAAAAATTTTTTTTTCAATGTTTAAATTGGAAAAATATTAATTACTATATGGCGTGGTTTGAATGCAAAGCCTGAGCGAAACAAAAAGTGTGTGTATGGTTACTCTTAGTTTTGCTAGTTTTAACTGGGTTTTTTACAAGATTTGGCGGTTTATGGCGATCGCCATGAAAATTAAGGGAGATCATAAGGTTGTCTTGAAATTGGTAGACCCATATTTATCTACACATCCCGAAGAGCTGATAATATAAGAAGGTTGCCTCTTTGTCCACACATACAAACATAGAAATTTTTTTTTAAATAGCTTAGGTTATTTTTAAGCCCTAACATTTCAAAGTTGTCAAAACATATAGTTTAGGATTTCAGACAGAACCTAGGTTTCGAAATAACAATAAGAAAAACACAACTTCCTAAGAGAATTAATAATCGATAAACAAATTTATAAACACAAAAACAAGTATAAACTTCAAAGAACCATTTTATTGATTGCAGCTTTCATCGCAGATATATCGTTTGCGGCTAAACTAACAAAGCAAATATTTCTTCCCCCTAACACTTGAAAAACAAAGGACTATTCAGAACTTTTACCGCAAAGAGAAGATTGCTAAGAAATAGAACAGAAGTTTCCTTTGGAAGCAAAAAAAAAAAAAGTAATTTCTTTTCTTATTTCCTAATTATTTTCCCTCAAATTCCGCCACATTCGCAAGAAGAAACGTTATGAGAGAGTCGAGAAGTGCTGATTCATCGCAGACGATAAGAATCCAACACATCCCTCAACTCGGCAATTAACTTTTAGGGAGAGAAAATCGTTTTCTGTGATGTCATTTGAAGGGAAAATATAGAAGGGGAGGTAAAGGGAGGTCAGAATGAGTCACAAGCCTAGATCATAAAAATTTTCTATTTATTTTATTCTTATTATTGCATCTTCCCAAAGTCAGCTAAAATTTAAACATCGAATCCTTTCAAGCAAACGAATTGGTTCAAAAGAACTTTTTTAATTCTGAAGCGCCTACAAGAGAAGCGGGTTCTTCCAATTACCTTTTCGTGTTAGAACCCAGCAATTACTTCTTTAATCAAACTTCTACCGTAGAGAAGAAAAAAATATTCAGACACATACATTTCTTTTCCTATTATTTTAATGCAAGAATAAAAAGTGTAGCAATCGCAGGAAGTTGAAAGTCTTTTCCCAGGCCCACGGAGAGGGTGACACCGAGAGAGAGAAAAAAACAGTTTTCGGTAGACTGGGAATAATGAGTTGTTCGAAAAGTACCGGAGTAAAAAAAAAAAAAAAAAAAAACTCTTAAGAAAATAATAAAAGTGAGAGATGACACGGACAAGAAGTGAGGTGCTTTGTTTTCATAGCAGCAATTTCCTTTGAAATTATAAGCATTGGAAGAAGTAAATATAGCATACGTGGAAACATAGCCATTTTTTAATAATAATAATCAATAACGTTTATTCAAAAACTATTAAGCTTTCATTTACAAATATAATTAATATTCGGTATCCAGTTTAAACGAGGTTTTTGAAATTTAAATGAAGATTTTGTGAAACGTTGCTAAAACAAATATATTTCTGTGTTTTAAAATACGAAATATAGATTTATGTTTTTATTTAATTGTCGTTTTCTAAATAGGTCAAGAATTGCACAGTCGTAGAAAATACTATAGTTCCTCTCTAAATTCATTATTTGGAAAATTTAGAATTCTTTTCCCGATAAATCATCTTGACGTTTTGAAGTGAGTTAATATCGAATAATCTGCCACTTTTTTTTAAAAAAGAAAAAGAAAAAAAGAACAATAGTTTTTTTCCCGATAAACATCAAAATAGAGACCCAATTGTAAATGCATATCATCATTAGATCAGCCGTTACCTAGAGAAAATTGCTGCATCTCTTCAATGTAATTTTCATCGTAATCGTTATATTGTGAACAAAATTATCGCCTGCTCAAAAATCATCTTCACCAAACTATTACTTCTTCATTCCGAAAACGATAACAATTGCTTATCTTCCGCTGAAAATATAACTTATTTTTAACCTTCACCTTAGAAAATATGAATATTATTCAGAGCGTTATGAATTTGAAGTAGCATTAGTAAAAGGTCGACAAATGAAAAAATGCAATAAAAGTGGAAAACAAAAGCAAAAAGAAAATTTTTAGGTCAAGTTCAGAAGTCAAAGTTTTAAACAACGCGTGGGCAACAGCGTAATAAGTCAAGAAAAAAGAAGAAAACCTAACTCGATTGAGATCGTTTGCCTGTAGGCCATATTTAAGCCTCTGCGGTCGTTGGCTTATTATTTATTTTTTCTCTCAATTTTTTCGTTTTAAATTAATGCTTTGACTTTTCTTCTGTTCGTTCACATTCCTAACGTAAAGTGGCGATAATGATAGAGGTTATTGTAAGAACCCCTTTACTACGAACTGTTTAAAATCTTCCCACTAATTCATATAATTTCTGCACTTAAATACCGTAATTTTCTTTTCAAACTTACACAACAAGAGAAAGTAAATTCAAATGATATCTAGGTTTAGAGTAAATGAAACTTCTGTTGAAATAATTATACATGAGTTTAAAATTTTAAGAATTGTTCCATATTTTTTAAATAACAATGTTAGCTTCATCTACCTTTATATACTTATTTATATGTAAAAATAAATGTCATAATTATTTATTATACGAACTACGAACAAGGTAAATAATTTAATCTTTAACATAGAAATATTTTCGTCAAAACAACAAAAAAAAAGAATAAACATTATTTCGTTTTGTTTTCTTTGGAAATATGCAAACGGCTATTTTCACGTGTCCTGAAATATAAAAAGAATCTTTATTTTATTTTCTTCATTAGATAATTAAATATCCTCACGTAGATGAAACAGGCGATGCTCACGTAGCCTGAAACTAACTATATTGTTTTATATAGTTCACTCAGGGTTCATACGCATTTGGAAAAAATTAAAAAGTGGCAGCAGTATTAATATAATTTTTTTAAAATTATATTTGTATTTTATTTTATCTAAAGAAAACATATATTGATCCAAAGGAGGCGGATATGAAATTTTAATTCGATAGTGAAAGCTAATTTAAGAAATTTTCAGCTTCTTTATAATAAAATTGATACCAGTTATTAATTTTTTTCCAGTTGCCTACGTACCCTGTCACCTAAGTAGGAGATAGTTAAAATAAAAGTAACAAGAGTTAAACTACACAAAGAATCTTGTTTTCTTTTGGAGACTTAAGAAGTATGTAAGCTGCGATGGTCACGTGGCTTGAATTCAACAATATTATTTTATTAATATTGCAGCTCATGTAAGTTTAAAAAAAAAAAAACTTTTTTCCTTTGAAAATTCTATCTTTAATTTGGAGTTTACTGTGAAACAATGACAAGTCACAGGAAAAAAGAAAATAAACAGTTTCAAAAGTTTGAAGAAAAAAAATCTGTAAAATAATTTACTTAGTTTAAATATATTTATATTTAAATATATTGCTCGTGCTAATTGGGTTTTATGTCAAAGAAATATACAAAACAAAAACCTTAAGGGAATAAAAGCTATTTTACAAGATTTTAAAAGGGGACTTGTTACACGAAACATTTTTTTCACTTTATTTTCGAACTGAGCAGAAAATTACGCCTTGTTTTTGTGTCATTATAAACCCATTAATTAATTGCGGCTCATTAATGATTCTCTCAGTTAATTTTGTTTATGCAATTCGGCACAACGAGAGAAGAGTAACTTAAAAATCCTAATTGCACTTAACCATTAAATCTGCATTATATTCTTATGTGAGCCATAGTTCTTCTTACAATAGTTTCACAGAAAAACTTTTATGTTTCAAAATTGTTAATATATTTTTAAAGACTATTCAGAAATGATATCACTTAACTTTCCAAAATGTATGTAATCTATTACATATAACAGTAATAATTGGTTCCTTTCTAAATAACAAAAAAAGTTTTTTTTTCCAGTTTTTTTCTTCTTTTTTTTCTCTCTTCAGTCAGTTAAATCTATTTTTTTAAGCAATTACGCAGAAATGTTTAGGCTCTTGGTTCCTTTCATAGTAATAAAAAATCTATTGTTTTTTAATCTATCGAATATTTCAAGCTAATAAAAATATATTTCGCGCTATACAAACTGTGGCTAATATATTAAAATAAAGCATAATTGATGAGCTTAATTTTCATAAAATCAAATGTCTTTGAAATAAGCAATCAATATACAAAATATTTTGCGTCTTTTTGGGGGTAATATTTAAATATTAGTCAATGATTAAAATAAATAAATCTATCTTTAAACATAGCATTTCAAAATATCAAAAAGAATTTGAAAGATAATATTTTACTGAGAACAGTAAAAATTTGTTGTTATAGTAATAGAACACAACTTGTAATAACTTTTGTAACTTTGAGACAAACTTTTGAGACAACCAACTTTGTGTAACTTTTGAGTAAACTTTGGTGTAACTTTTGAGGTGTGTAACTTTTGAGACAACCAATGAACAAAACTAAGATTTAGTACCCTTATTTTTTCATATCGTTTTGCATGA